CATCGAAGACCTAATTTCATAGCATCAGTTTTGTTGAAAAAATCTAATTTCATCAATTTATTAGGAAAAAAAACAAACAAGATCATCGAACTAAAAAATCCAAAAAAAAAATGAATTTCTTGGAAAAAAAAAGCAAAAGAAACAAAAAATGATTAATAAAAAATGAGCTTAAAAACCTGAAGAATCTCGATCCTTATCCAGATTCTGGAAAATTCTCAGATTAAACAAAATTTCCAAGCGCCCACTGCAATGGTTTCAGCTCAACTCAAAGTGAAATTTGTCAAAGGAAAATTAGAAAATGTTAAGAGGAAAGAAGAGAAAAATTGAAAGAGGTTGATATGGAGATTGATACGGAGGGAAAGGAAAAGGCAAAACACAGAACAACAAATTGAAAGAGGGAAGAAGAAATGCTTCAGAAACAAAGAGTTTGATACTTTATTTCTATTTTTTGGTCTTTTGAAGCGGTAATCATGGGCAAAGAAGTCATGGGCAAAGTAATAATGTTGGAATGTATGCCCTAAAACAATGTATTTGTTTTTATTTTATACATTCCTTATTATATGTTTTGTATTTTAATAACTTCTTATTTATCTGTTAAATATTAGATACAACCGATAAAGTCCTTATAATATTACTAATGTGATGATAGTCACAAGAGTTGGTGACTATGAGATATCAATCACATTCATAGTAATATTATTAAAATTCCCTAGTTTTTGTACTAATGAAATAGGACATCTTTAGTACGGTAAAACTAGTACACAGTTAGCCTCTAATTAATGTAATTAGTGGTTGTTCTCATCAACTATGGTATGAAGATACTTAGGCTAATGTGTAGATGATTTGAAAAGTACAAATGCATTGGAGTGATCCGTTTAGAGATCCCGTTAGGATATCTATCTAGTGCCAATGGTGTATCTCTAGTGAAAAATTGTGTAAGTGATCCTACGACTTGAGATCACCATAGTATCTTGAGTGTGAATCGCTACATTTTGACTCTATTTACTTGTTACTCTTCGTGAGTACCTTAAAGTGTAGAAGTTGGATGTAGTGTGAAGCACGTAAAGAAAATGGGTGATCAAGATAGGATTTACCACTCTGATAGAAGGAGTTGATATCCGGATGGCCACTAGTGAGAAATTAACCCTAAAGTCGACTATTAGGTAAATTGAAGAATGTCTTCAATTTAACCTAATTAAGGGTAAATTTCGGGAACTAGAAAATTTAATTAGTCATCAGGGAATTGGCACTTATTCCTTATTCCTGACTAATTGGATATCTTTGGTGAAAGGATAATAATTACACGGTAATTTTTCACGGAAAGGTTAGGTCAAATTCCCTTGACTAATTCCGAATAATTGGGCAATCACGATGTGTTGCTAGACACCGCTCGTGATTTATAATTATGGATTAATTATTTATTATAAGTTATGATAAAATAAAGTCGTTTATTTTATCTAATTATTAAACCATAATTATTACCAATGTATTCGGGACCTATTGGGTCACACGCAATAGAGATTTAATCCTGGATTGAAACTATGTGTATTATAGGGGTTTAATTTTAAAAGAAAATTAATCCCAGGCCTTTTTGAGCAGATAAGAGTAAATGGTTATCTCTTATCTATCAGATAATGATAGATAGAGTCTTGTATGATGAGAAGTCTTATGGTTTTGATTTTGAATCAGACAAGAAGACTTATCATTATAGATCATCATATAACTCTCTCATGAATGGCTCTCTTGGTTTTTTTTCCTATGGTTTTTGGGGACTGAGATACAAAAACTAAAAACCGAGGCTTTGTGATGGTCACACACACAAAAGAGAGAATTGAAAAGTGTAAAAAGGCTAGCACCTTTTTCTCTTCAATACATAGTTCGTGAGACGACCCAGGGTTGCTCTAGCGTGGATATCAGTAGAGGCAGGACGACTGGACTGCTCAGGGGCTGACCATCCTCAAACAACGCTGCAGGGAGACGCCGCTTGGATTAAGGTAATCCTAAAACCCTACTTCTAGTACATCATACGTAAAATCTAGGGTGATTCCTGGATGGTTTTAGGGAAAATTTTTTATTTTTCCGCTGCGTAGTATCCCTAAAACCCAACAAATAATTGATTGTTCATTAGTTGTCATCTAAAAACCAATCATCCATTGTTTTTATTTTGAAATTCATTGGCTTTTTACAAGTGAAAATTTGAAACTTTATTTCTATTGTTGGATTTTTTTTTGACTTACCAAAAAAAATAGATAAAGCTGAATGGGTGCTGGTCACAAAAGGTTACTAAACGACGTAGTTTTATCCTCTCTTATGTGACATGCTTAGTGGTGTCATAAAAAGTTTTGTATTTATGACCCCCACAATATTACAAGTCAGAAAAGGCTATCTTTCCTTGTAGTGATCGAGCATTTATTATGGCATAATTTATAATTTCAACCATATCAAAAATTATAAGACATAATATTTAAATATATTTAGTGATCCACCGGTGGTACCACTCACCTAGGGGTGCAAACGAGCCGAGCTCGAGTCGAGCTTTGGCTAATCGAGCCGAGCTCGAGTTAATTTTGTGAAGCTCGAACTCGAGCTCGAGCTCGACGAGCTCAAAATATCAAGCTCGAGCTCGAGCTCGAGTCAAATTCGAGTCGAGCTCGAGCTCGAGTCAAATTCGAGTCGAGCTCGAGCTCGAACTCGAGCTTAAAAAATAAAAAAAATAATTATTATTATTTTATTTTTAAAAAATAAAAATAATTTTTTTAAAAAAAAATGAATAAAACAATAATTTTTTAACAAATAATAAAATATTAGGGATATATATGTAATTTTACTATTAAAATAAAAAATAAAAAATAAAAAAAAATATATAATTGAGCTCGCGAGCCAACGAGTTTAATGTTTTTGAGCTCGAACTCGAGCTCGAGATCGACTTAATTAGCTCGAGATCGACTTAATTAGCTCGATATTGACGAGCTCGAGTCGAGCTCGTATTCGAGCCGCTCGCGATCGGCTCGCGAGCGGCTCGATTCGCGAAACACCCCTACACTCACCCACTAGTTGAACCAGTAACCTGTTGACCCATCTCTTTTGCCGGGTTTCTCCCCAGGCCGGGTTTAATAACTGTGGTTGAAATATATGTTTTTATGGTTATTTTTAAAAAGTATGAAATAAACAATAATAGAGCATTGGATGAATGTGTCAGCCTAGAAATGGTAAAATAGCAAAGCATGCATAATATAAAGTTTTGAAAAACTTTGTGATGATTTTTTTTATGAGACATTTTTAAAGTACTATTATGGTTGGCACAAAAGCTCTTTGGTTCGCATAAAAAGGATAATGAATAATAGTAGTATAAATGTCTAGGTATATGCTAATTAAATGTAATGAATAATGTATATAATAAAAGCAGCTAATTGTTACTATGTGTCTTCTTTTTGTTTCATATTTAATTCATATTATTTGTATCTGTGTTTTTATTATTTTTAAATTAAATATTTTTTTCATCATAAAGAAACAAAAATATTATAAATGCAATTGTAGAAAATTCTAACGAAAAAATGATCTTCAAAATATTATAGGTATTAACCCTATATCTAATTTTAGTATTAAGACTATAATTAACACAATTCATTTTCACTTCCATTGATTTAGGTATAATGATATTCCTATTAAAAAAAAGTAAATACATTAGCAAATTATGCATTTTTTTAAAATGGTTTAAGTTTTTATATTGGTCATTGTGTAGTCTATTTGTGTTTTATTTTGGTATTGGGTAAGAAAATTGAAATATTTTGATGTTCCATATTACTATCAAAATTAATATATATTATTTATTGTTATATTTGGTGTAGGAAAAATATATTAGTGTAATTAGTATGATATATATAGTATAATATAGTGTGTTTAAAAAAATATTATATTTATGCTTATTTAATTAAAACAAAAAATTTACTAATGAATGGAAATAATAATTAATAAGGAAAAGTAAGAATTAAAAAATTTTGAGGACTTACTTGATGAACACTGAAGGAAAATATTGTGCTTCATTTTAAAGCGTATAGAAACTGTGAGAATAGGAAAAAATTTTGAAGAAAATATTATAAGAATAGTGTGCAATATATTCTGAGTCTAAATTACTAAATATTGAAAGCAAAGATTATATACCTTTGATCTCTGTAATGTGTTCCTTTAATTGCTCTATTCCGAATTTTGACAACAGCAAAGTCTTTCTTTGTTCATGTGAAAGGTAATTCATAGGGTTTGATTTATTTGATGGACAGTATAAAGCTAATGTTTTAATTTGGATGTGAGAAACTCTATGGAACTAGTGGTGACAGTTTTCATGCATTTATTACTATTAATTGTAGTAATTCGACGCGGGTATTTTTTTTATTTAAATAAAAAGTAAATATGTGAGATTACTGAAGGCAGAGATTTTAATGGATTATATGTGTAGCAAGAATTGTAAAATGGGTGGTATGTGCTTTATTGGTTTATATGTGCATCAATATGTTGTTTTTATTATGCCTATACATGGATGAATGTTATTAGTAAAGAAATAGAGGGAAAAAATATGGTTATAATCAAAATATATTAGATTCTTTTTTTTGTACAATTATTTTGTGTTATATTGCAAGTTTATAATTAAGGTTTTATATTTCAATGCAATTAGAAAAAGAAATTGATCTTTTTTTTAGGTATAGCAATATTTTTGTTGTTTTTCATATGCATATATTAGTTTGTTTATTATTGAGTATATTTTGGATAATGAATTAATTAATTTTTGTTATACATACAATAATAGTTATATGTTCAATTGTATATATAAATTAGTAAAATTCTTGTTTCAACTTTATTTAGATTTTTGCATAACAATGGTTGGACACATCAATTTATTGTTGCTAAGCTTGGATTCACCTTCTTCTCTCTTCATGCAGGCTTGCTTCAGCCTATACTGATAGTGCTTCTAAAATTGGGATATGATAATGAATGTAGAGGGCAGATTGGAGCATTATGGTCCATGTAGGAATCCAGTGCATGCATTTGAGTAGTTCAAATGTTTCATTCCTGAATTCAGCAAATTCAAGAGTACGATTGTTTCATTCAGTAATCAGATAATTGAAAAATTGAAGAGCGGTTGGATTTTGTTGTATATTTTGCAAACTCATCTACATAAGTAATAAAAGAGCCAAAGGATTTGGTGATTTTCACGTGATTTCATTGACCCTCGTTATCTTATCTTTTGTATTTTGCATTTTTACATAGATAGACTCGTTATTTGTATTCTGCATTTTAGGACCCTTGAAGCAATAGTAAAAAAGGATCTCATCATCTCATCTCAATTGTGGTCCGGGTCTTTCCAAAACTTGGCAGATGGCTCGTCTTTGTCATCTTCCTTACCGTTGCCGGTAATCTCTTTTCTTCCTCACCATTGCATTTGCTCTCTGGTAACATAGATAGACTGGCCTCTTCTTCTCTCCATTTCTTTAATCCATCTCTTTTCATCAAATCTTGCTCTTTTTTTTTTCCTTTTGTTCCTCTTTTGCTTCCATTAAATTGAGCTTAGGTTCTAATTTGTGGTTTTAGCGTTCTGATTTGAACTTAGAACTGGTGACTTAGCTGTTCTGTTTCTTGTTTAATCCTCTTTTCTTTTTTTGTTGCATTTGGACTGATTTTGTGGTTTTTTACGACTTGGTTTGTTGTATTTTCTTTCCTGAGTTGATATCTTGGGTTACTATAGTTCGTTGATTTCTATATTTTTTTGGTTACTGCTACTGTATATTTGTTGATGGTGTTATTATGATATTTTCCCCTGCAGCAGATCCATGAGTTCCACCTCGGAATTTTGGCTTTATATATTTAAGAATTCGATGTTCAGCGCGGGGTGTGGTCTTGCTTCTATTTTAATTGGGATTGCTACAGAATGGTAACTAGGATTTCCTCTTTTTTTTTTTTTTTTACGTTTCTTTTCTTCTTGTTATGAATTATATGTTTTTTCTCTTCTTTTTCAAGACCTACTCTAAAATTGACAAGAGGTAAAATTTACCCCCTAAAAGGAAGGTTAAATCTCCCACCCCTTCCCCCCTTCCTCTTTGCGTAGGTAAAATTTGTCCCTATTCTAGGGGGAAAAGAATTATATCTTATCCTAACTCAGTCCTAATCGTCCTTTTTTTCTTTTTGTATCATTTTTAGGCCAAAGAAATTGTGTGACAACTTCAAGTAGTTGATTTTTAGTGAGCTTGACTTTGCTTGGTTTCGTCTTCTTTTCTCATTTCTGTGCATTTTAGGTTTTTTTTTGGTCTTTTTTTGTGATATTTTGCTTTGGTGCTTTGGTGGTTGTAGGACTTGATTGATGAGGATGAAATCTTTATTGCAGCTTTTTATTTTGTTTCGTTTTGGATTGCTTTTGGTTTTGAAGTTGTGATGTGTGAAGGAAATTTTGTGCTTCTTATCTGTTGGTTTTGTATAAAACTGAAATTCTTTGTGTTTCTCTCTTTTTATTCAATGAATACAATTTGGATTGTGAAAAAATGATATGAGTTAGTGATTGCTCTGGTTTTGTGTATGGTTTGCATTGTGGGACTGATCTTTTTTAGGCAATCTGACAATTATTTTTTTGTCTAAAAGAGATTTTTCCTGATTTAAGCTCTGTGAATTTTTAGTTTTTTAGAATGGAGCCCAAAGATTGATTAGTTTGGCTGCTTTTCATGTTTATGAATTTTTAAAACATGAGGTATTTTAGGATTGTGTTCGTAATGTGATCTTTGTTTGATTATTCATACCTATGTAGTTTATGCTTATGTCTCTGTTTTCATGGCCTCAGAATGTCAGGCTAGGTGATCATGTGTTAGGCATTCATCTTGTTTGATTAGGGAGGGATGTGATTCACTGTTAAATTGATTATTGTAAGACAGCTAAGGGTTTGAATTTTGACTGTGAATAAGTAGTGTGTGCAGACTAGGAATACATTTGGTTATTCATACTTATGCAGTTTATGACTATGCTTCTAATTTTTTTTGCTGTAGAATGTTGAAGTGAGTGTTGATATGGCTGAGCCACAAAGAGAAAGGAATCTGTTTCGAGAGGTTTATGAGAACAGTTTCAATAATCTATTTCGGCTTCTCCCGCCTGTTAGCGATCATGTTCTCACTCCCATATTTGATTTTGCTTGTTCCACAAAATTTGTAATAGAATCTTTGGCTATGTTTTTCTATATTGCTTATTTTTCTTTCTTTTTGCACCTGTGTTTAGTAGTTTTTTTGCCTTGGAATTTGAAGGCTGGGGGCACTGCTTGGATTAGAGGAGAGGTGCGGGTTTGGCTTCGGATGGACCGCTTGTGGTTTCTTGCCTGTCCTCACTGTCACCAGCCTTATGATTTTGCCGATACTTTGGGGATTGTGTGCAAGTGTTGTGGTCGAGAAATGTATATTTTCCCTAGATATTCTTGTTCTATTGTTCTCCTGCTACTATTTGTCCATGATGTTGGTCTAGCTTTATGCATGATTGCTGTTGATTGCAGGGTCTATATTGCTCTGTCAATTAAAGATGACTCTGACTCTATGAATATTCTGGTTATTGGCGATGAAGCTGTGCGCCTTATTGGTCTTACTGCTTTTCATCTTTATGCACTCGATGAACAAGATGTAGTGTAGCTTGGTTTTTTTTATACCTCTGCTATGTTTGCATCTATGATTCCGTTTATGCTAATGATGTTGTTTGATTCTTCTCTTTCTGCAACATGCTAGATTGAGCTATCACGTTGCTAATGAGGTCAAAGGAAAGAGGCTTTTGTGCTATATTAAGCATTCATCTGATCATATTAGGAAAACCACTTCTGTCAAGTTTACTGTTGTTACTTTTTATGTTGCCTAGCCTCTTTCGAGATGTAGCTTGCTATTTTTTTGGTGTAAGGATGCTTTCAATATGTGTTTGGAGCACTTTATGCTCTTGTTTGTTGTTTTGCATATGGACTCTTTTGTTGTCATCTTGATTCGAAGAATCCAATATTCTCTGCTTCTGTGTGAGTGTTTGTGTAATTGCTTGCAACATGTCATTTGCTTGCTGTTATTTTCTCTTCTGATGTTATTTTAGCTCATGGTAGTTAAGCTATTACCCATTACCGCCTATTTTTATCCATTGTATTACAGACACTTTTAGTTGAGACTATGTAAGCGAATTTTTATGCAAAGGCAATCGGGAAATGTGTTTCTGCTTTCACTAAAATTTTCTTCATTGTTCTTGTATACATTTGTGATGCTAGGCATCTCCGTGCGCAGCTTGATCAGGTGGCTATTAGGCTATGCATGCTAGTGACATTGGGGGCCTTCGCACTTCCATTACATGTATAATACGTGGATACTAATTGATTTAGAACTACCAGGCCCAGTGGATTATGCTTTTTAATTAATGAGGTAAAGAAAATCAAACCTTCATTGCACGATTTCCTGAGCTGTGACCTACGTGTAGGTTAAAGGAGGCAAAAATAAGACTAATAAAACTGAATAACATGTTTAACAGGCCATACTCAAGTTTTTACTGCAAACTTTGAGAATATTTCGAAAAACTTTTCATCAATGATAGAATATTTTAATAAGTTGGGGCAAAAAGGAAAATCAAATTAAGAAAGGGATCCAAAATTCCTTTCAAGTTGTAAATAGTCATGAAAACTTAAGGTTGGACTTTTATTAACTGTAACCCCACACATTTTTTTGCTAGACATTACTAGAAGATTACTTATTTTATTTGGCAATTTTTATTTTCTATGACAGGTAAAGGAGCAATTTTTTTGAGAGTTTTTTTGTTGAATATGATGAACAGAAAGAAAAACGTTTATTTAGAAATAGTTCGAAAAGGCATTGATGTTAGTTTAGTATTTTGTTAGGTCGTGGTCTTAAGGCTTGTAAGATTACTAAATAGTTTCTTATTTATTTAATTAGTTTATGTATGGGGCATACAAATATGTTAAGCCTTTGTCGTAATGTGTTGAACTGGCTTCATAATGTGCTGGAATTACATTTGGTAAAGCTATTGCATAAAAAAAAAAGTCATTCGCTTCATAATTGTCCAAAAAGCATTTGGTTTTGATATTTCCTAGGCATTTTTTTAAAATTATGTTTTTTAGTCTTTTGCAGTTAGCATATCCTCTTCATAATTCGATCTTTACGGACACCTAACTAGCAATGTTGGGCAATATTACCACTGCGCGGTGTGCAATGTTGGACACCTAACTAGTGTGTTGGAGTTTGTTGTAGTTGAAGAGGTTGGAATATATAGTTATTCATGTTGTATAAAGGGAAGTAAAAATTTAGTAGATATGCATATAAGAAAGAGTAATTGTTATGTTATGAAAGATTGCATTAGATGATATTTATAGGAGGTTTTATTAGTGCACAGGAGTTTTATATATGTGTGTGTATTTGTGTACATATAGATATGTTTCATTGTGTGTATGTTTATGTGTGTGTGTATGCGTATGTGATAAAGTTTGGTTACCTAAGGATTATTTGTAATAAATGTATCTATGTATTCTATTATACTGGTGTGTTTTTTAACTTTTTTTTATTTCTTAAATTTTTTTCTTAAATATATTAAAATAAAATACATAAAATACCAGACCTAAGGATTTTAATTAGCACAATCTTTGTAAATTATATAAAACATAATAGAAAACACAATAATAGCATATATTGTTCTATTAGATGAATACCAGAAATCAATCTCATCTCAGACATTGGTGTTTTTGTACTCATTGAAACACATTTTGCATATCTGAAAATATTGTGTAATTAACAATAACATAAAAAAACACTCATTGTTTTGTCTTTTAAATAATCAAGAATGACATCAAAACTGCTAATTATTTTATTATAGATCTATCAACATCTCTATATTCTAAATAGTATTATATAATAATGTATTTGGAATCAACCAAACATGCATTTGGACATCTGAAACAATCAAATAACTAATAATCAAATTTAAAAAGTTAATCATTGTCTAATTAATCAGGCAAATTATATAGACAACCATGATATGTCAATCTATATAATCATTATGCATAGTATACATAGTCATTGCTATATTTCTAACAACATAAAAAATTGCTAAAGACAGCTTTTATGGCATTTAATATGACCAAGATAACCAGAAAAATTAAATTATATAGGAATCAATATTCATCTATATTATACATAAATATATACACACATATTTTTCACATATAATCACATAAATAAATATGTATATCAACACAATTAAACGCAATAATAAATAAGTAAATATAATTAAGAGAAAAATCTCATCTCTGACATCATTGTTTATTCAATTACAACAGTTATAACAATCTGCTTAATAAGTATGTCACAATGAGCAATGGATTCTCTAATAATTTTGTCTAATTCGATAACATTAATAATAGTACCTAATTCAATAGTATTAATAACACTACAAGGTTGATCTGAATTCTTTCATCAGTTTAGTCCTTAAATGCGAGAGATGATTCTTTATTAATAATTCTACCCCTTTTTATTTGGAAGAGTTGCTTATCTTTCTCGATTATGACCATTTTTTTTCCAACCATTGTTCCTTATCACACAAATTTCCTCTTTTGACCTATTATAATTATTGATAATTTATCACAAATCAAAAAATCAAAAAATAAACATCAAAAAACAATCACAAGCACTTAAAAACATAAGATATAATGATTAAATCACAAAACAAATATACCTATTAAGAGCATAAAATGAATGCAAAAAGACTTCACAGATAATCAAACAAAAAAGCACTAATATCTTTAAAAAACTATTCATTCTTTTAAAAGAAATCATAATTGAAATAGGAACAAAAATAAAAAAAAAAACTTTATATCAAAAAAATGAAGAATATGTCTTTTCCAAAGTTAAAAAGTAATCAATACAGAACAATAGTTGAACTAGTACTTACCTTGAACAATAAAAATATAGAAAAAATTCCAAACAAAAGGAAAAACACGATATCAACCACATTAGTAAACCTGAATCTTAAAATGTATAATTCAAAAGGGATGGAACAAATGAAAATTATGTAAACAACAAAAATATTATACAAAATCAACAAACAAGCACTAACAAACACCAAATAGGAGCACAAAAATAACAAAAATTTTAAACAACCAAGGCATATAAAACAAAGGGAAAAAAACTAATACATAAAAGAGGAAAAACATAACAAAAAAACATGAAGAATATAACAGATAATAGCACAGTAAAATTCACTGAAGCTTGTGGCAAAGAGACAACAAAAAGAGGAGAAAAATAGTTACACTAAATAAGTACCATAATCCTCTTATATAAATTGAAGGGAAACCAACTATAAATACAGCAAAAAAAGAACCAACTATACCAATAAAAAGTGCAATAACAACTCAGACATTTACTACAACCATAAATGATATAAATCAAAACATAACATTAAAACAAAATTAACAACCAATATATATATTTATATTTCTTCCTCATCTATAGTTACATCAAGGTACAAAATAAATAAAAGAGAAGAATATTTTACCTATTCAAAAGGATTTTAGAACCAACAAAAGTTAAGAGTGCATCAAAACCACACTATCTTGAACAAAGTAGTAAAAATGACCAAATAAAAGAAACAATAAGAACTCCTAAGAACTTTAAAAATGGGAAAAAAAGAACTCCTAAGAACTTCTAAATAAAAAAAGTTAAAATAAAATGATTTAAAAAAATAATTAACAAACATAATGATGGCGAATGGGGAAAAAATTCCACCAATAACCAGTTTCATGCAACATGAAATAATGGCTAGAGATTATTATAGCAAACAAGCCAATAGACTAGTCCGATGTGTAACTACGTAATTACAAAATAAAATTCATATCAGTTTTCAATGTAAATGACCAACATAATTGGCACAATAGGTGCATAATAAATCTCGTCCAACAAATGCACACGCAAAATCCCCAAAAGATCAAATACATTAGCCACATAAACAAAGCATAAATAGATAAAGATGTAACTACACCCATGCCACCTCACCAATGACTATAAAAACATCTCGCTTTCACGTTTATACGCACTTTCAGTTACATAAATTATACCTTCCAACACAAAGCTTTGACTGCATATTGGAGGCATCATTAATTCAACAAACCTTCCATCCTACATACACACATGTACCAATACATCCACCAAGTAAAGAGGATCAAAGAACTAATAAGCAGACAGGATAGAATCAGGCACAAAAGATAGTGAAAATTGCACGACAAATATTGAGGCAGCCATTATATGATTTTTTTCTTCATGCATTTCTCGAGATAGAGGCAGCCAAGAGAAAATCATCACCAAGAAATACAAATATTGTAGGAACGAATGAGCTTATAGGTACTTGTGTCTCAAATTCTTGACCATGATACTTCCGTTCCTACAACAGTTACTGTAGACTTGACACTTTATCAAGAAATTGGCATATCAATTTCCAAATCCAGTCCAATCTACTGTAAAGTTTTTTTTTTTTTTAAAGTATTAGAAATAAAGACTTCCAACCCTTGATAATAGACTACTAGTTCTTGACTCTTTTATCCATAAAAAAAAATAGAAAGAAATCTAGTGGCACACTATCAAAAAGATAGAATTAGGCATCACAAATTGAAAAAGGATGGAATAACTAACCAATTGGACAACATTATTTACTTACTATACTTCCCCTTTTAAATAGTTAGATATCTCAAGATTAAATGGTTATTCCTCTTTTTACTCTTTAACCATACCCGAATATTTTTTCTGGTCACTAAACTTTAAAGTGGAACACTTTAGTACCTAAAGAATGAAATTTGTCCCACTTCAATAAAAAAAAAAAAAAAATTTGTCCTTTAATCCTAGGAGGCATCCAACTGAGAATAGATTGGTGGTAGAATGTTTATTTGAGTTTGAATAACCTGAAAAATCACTAACATGATTAATTGCATGTCTTGAGTTTTAAAAGTTTTAAGTTTTTTTTTTCATTTTAATGAAGTATAAATTTGTTTTTTAAATTTTTAGAAAATTATATCAGAAACATTGATTTTGTAGTCTAGCCTCATACTTTATATTTTTCCTATCATTGTATTAGAAGAAAACGTGTTTACTATATTCAATGACACAAAAAAATGAATTTTATTGCATGGAAATAAAATAGATAATTGCCAAATTATCATAAAAGTAATTCTTTATT